TATATATATATACACCCACACCCACCCCCACTTACGTTTTCCCCCAAATCACTCCTTTTTAGACGTTTCTTCGTAAAGCTCTAACTTCTATTTTTGCGCTTTGTCCTATTCTTACATCCCATTTTTATTGAGGTAAGTACTCCGCATTTGACAGACAGCGTGTGCTGGTGTAGGGGTTGGGGGCTTCATCATACCTGGTTACAGAACAGTGTTCGATTCCCCTGTGGGGAGCGCTCTAATCAAATAGCTCAATCTTTCATTTAAGCTTCATTATTAGCCTTTTCAGCCAAGGTTGGCCTTGACAGGAAGGATTGACGTCCAAAACCTGAGTAACCGATACCTAAATTATTATCTATAGTGGGGGTAATAGCCCACAAAGAATACAAGAAATATTAGGGTAGATGATGGTCCATCACCAAACATCATCCAACGCCAAAGAATCAAATGGTTCGGACATCTCATGCGATTACCAACACACCACCCAGCACAAGGTGCCTAAATAAAAACATTCAATGGCAACAAGGCTAGAGGGCGACCGAGAAAGACCTGGATATGTGGAGTTCAGGAAACACGAACAACTCACGGCATCCACCCGACCCAAGCTCTCCGGCTGGCGACAGAGAGACGTCTCTTTCTTCTCGCGACACCCAAAAGGGTATACGCGGCGAAAGGGAGAGGGGGGAGGGGGGAGAGAGAAAGGAAGAAAGACGGAAGAGAGAGAGAAAAGAGTTTTTTAGTTTTAGTTTTATTAGAGTTTTATGGCTCTCGCAACTGCATAAGGTCATATGAGCGCCAAGGGGTGGATGTTAACAGAGAAGTCCTTTCAGGGAATCAGACTTACTCTGCCCACCTCTTTATCTTCAACAGCACAAAATCTGCTTCGACTATCAAGCCACCCCGACAATAGCCGGTCACAAAAGTGTGACAAAAATACAAAAGGAGCAGAGGAGAAATGATGATAGTAAGGATTAGGAAAGAAAAAGCAGCAGTTCCCTGTTGCAGTTCAGGCTCAGTTATGAGCGTGACATTGATGAATCAGCCCATGTATAATTGCAATTCTACTGTGCATAAGAACTCGAGATGTTAACGTCCCTCCCCCCTTGGGAATGGCCTAAATATACCTCAGTCAGTAACACCGACCTCGAGGGGGGGGGAGGGGGGTAAGAGAAAAAAGAGACAGTGAACGAGATGCTCAGAGAAAGAGAAAACAATATTGTCAAAATAGTGTGATTGTGCTCTAAGAATAGTACAGAAAGAGGCTTTATTTTGTTAGATACACCCAGAACTGGAAAATATTCAGATGTGATGGTAAATTATTGTAAACACCATCCATGACTATGATAACTGAGGGGACTACAGAGAAAGAAAGACAGAAAGAGACAGAAAGAGACACAGAGAGCGTAAGAGAGAAAGAGAGAGAGAGAAGAGAGAGAGAGAGAGAGAGAGAGAGAGAGAGAGAGAGAGAGAGAGTAGACAAAGAGATATATAAATCGTGTGCTGTGTTCTTTTACATTCTATATAATAGATTCTGACGATGTTGTAAACTGACAATTTCGTTATCGCCAATTTTTATTATAGTATTTTAAAAAATGTTTAATTGTCCTATTCATGTATAAAAAACATGATGAAACAAGCCAATCTATCTATCTATTTATCTATCTATCTATCT